TTATCATTATTTAATACATTAAAAAATGGAACAAATTTTTTTACTCGAATATATATCTTTTGGAATAGAATATAACTTATAACAAATGATCATGTTTCTGCGTAATACTGTAGTACTACATAAGAAATAAACAAATACTGAATTAGAAGAAACAATTAATATAAGAGTATTTATTAAATAGAGAATGATGGGAACCAGATTGGACGTGGAGGAGAAAAGGAGAGGGAGTGAATGATACGAAGAGTGATTCCACCCAAAAAGGGTATAAGCCGCAGAGTCTTGTCTCTTCTCGAGCCCTGTGTTGTGTAACTTGTCTACCTCTTTTTCCTTTTGTTCTTTTAATTCTTAATTACTCTTTTCACAAGTATTGCGTATGTACATACGTATGCAATACGATAATATTTACACGACGTATAAACCTTTCCAAGAGACTTCAACCACAATTAACGACAATATGCTGCTACTCGCCCGAGTTCGTTCATTATGAGATATTAGTAAATATAAATTTGGGTTTTGTTTGGAGGATATATAACTTAACGTATCATTAAAAAAACTTATTATATATTAAAAACGTATTATTAAATAAATGAAATAATTATTTCTTAAAACCAACATATATAGCATATTTATAAATTAAATGGTTTATTTGCACATGTGAACATAATTTTCTTACGATGTATTAATTTCAAAACCATCATGATATATTATTATTTATCTTTTAATAAAACTTAAAAATAAACATCAAATTATTTATATATCATAAGTTCTTCTTCAATATATATGTTCATATTATGTTGAAATTTTAAAAACATTCATATATTAAAAAATAGATAATATTTATATACAATTGTTTTGCTTGATTAATATTTAACTACATTTTTTTTTATTCACTTTATAATATAAAATATTATTTTAGATAACCACATAATATAAGAATTATTTATTTTTAAAAAATAATTTTGAATTTTTTATTATATTAAGTATAATAAATTATCTAATATACTACATAAATCTAATATTATTAATAAAGACTGTTGTAATTATAGAACAAATTATATGTAAATTCATTAAGGATAACATAGACATTAACCGATCCAACTTTTGACCTAGAAGCTTGAATACGAAAAATCATTTCACAAATAATAGTATATATAATATTAAACATTTGTAAACAATAATGTAAATAGTTTAAGATTATTAATTTTATTTGCCAAATACTCATAAAAGGGAAAAATTAGATTTTTGGAAAAAAGTAGAAAGAGATAGAAAGAGAAATGAATTTTGGTTAAATTATTAATTTTATTTGTTTCTTAGTTATTGGGTCCATTTTTCATGATTTTATGCCAAGCATTTAAATGTGAAGAGAGATTTTGGATTATACTGTTTGGTGGCTTCTAATCACTGCTACTTAACAGATCTTTCTTACAGAGACAGGGAGAGAACAGTGTTTCTACAATGAGCCATGCTTTCACTGTCATATCATTTATTGCTCCCTAATATCCATTTTTTGTTCCTTTTATATATATCAAGATCTCTTCGTATCTTTTTGAAAAATAAAAATAAAAAACTCCACGTATATAATTGTTTTATTAAAACCAAAGAAGCAAAAAAAAAGAAATATTAGGTGGGTTATTTTATTTGTATGTTTTGTCTTTAAGGCCAAAGCCAATAATATAAAGATGAGCTTTTAGTTCCTTACATTCTATTTGGTGCAAGAGTAGTTATTGTAGACCGAGAAGGAAGAATGTAGAGTTACAAACTTGGTTTAGTTTCTGTTGTGTTCTGTCTTCTCTCTATCTCGCTTTAGTTTCAGTTCCATATCTAATCAGATGCTGATGAAACTTCTTCACATGGATTGTGTTTTCATTTGGGCCCCACTTCGTATACATGCCTTCATATTTTCTTCATATTTAGATTGTGGAATCGATGTTCGTGAAATGGTTCATCATGTTCGTATATACTAGTTGATCAATCATATGTATAACAAAATAAAATTATATGATATTGATGATTTCATCACTGTTAAAAAAAGATCACTCAAATTAAGTGTTAATATATCTAGTTCGGTTGTTCATTATAAATTTATAAATGCATTTATGTGAATATTATATAATCTGATATATGATATTTTGATAAAACATAAAAGTTTAAAATGTCAACCAAATTAGTTTTAAATGCACCAAACAAGTTACTTTTCGAAATTTATTGGTTGGTTAGGAGTTCTGTGTAATATAGTAAACAAAACTAATATGTTTGATTAGTCTAGTCAAAGTGACCATCATATCTTTAATTCAAATGAAAATTTTAAAAACATGATATGAAATTATAAGATTATATTGTATAAAAGTTTATTAATCATTTGATCATGATATCTTTATTGTAAAACTCTTTTATTTTATATATGTTATTTAATAGAATATTTTATAGGAAAAAAAATTGAAATTTATAACAATCTTAATTATTTTAAAAGTTATAATTTAAAAGATCATATATGAATGTATGTAAAATGTTAACATAATTATTTAGATAATATAATATTTTAAATTGATTTTAGCTGGAAAGAATTACTTGTATAGCTAAAATTATGATAACTAATGACACGTTAAAACCAAACTTTTAGATGATATTATAGTTTTATGATATATTGTTTTTATTCAAAAATATAATTTTGAATAAAAGTTATTAACTTCAATTTTAAAATTAAAATATTAATATTAAAATTAAGTTTGGTAATTTGAACTCATCAAAATTGTAATTATTTTTAGGAAAATTAACACGAGAGCTTGAATATATGTAACAAATTTATTAACTGTAATATAAAAAAAGTACATATTCTTAATTTCTAGGAGATAAAACGAAAAAAAAACAAATTAAATACATTATATCCAATTCAAAATAAGTAATGACACAATACGACACTTTATACAAAATGTTAGGATACATGTCTTGATCAATATTCTATCCACCGTTAATTCAAACGATCAAATTAGTAGGACAATGATTAAAATATAGAAACCATATCCTAATAGTCATGACTGAAATAAATTAAAACACATTGCTTCTTCGACTATGAACTTGTAGAGCATTTACGGCTGCTTGTTTGCATCTTGTTGTTTATGTATCTTGAGGATGGGTACATGTTATATATATATATATATATTTTTTTTTTTCTCAACACCTTGTACATGTTATATTCATAACGATTAATAGTGATGGTTATTCGAGATATTAGAAAAGACGCGAGCCAAACCAAACGAAATCAATTTGGTCAACAGAGTTAAACCAACCGGTAAAATTGACCTTAAGGGGCTGGACCATATAATGTGGAAAATATGGCAAAGGTGGATCGGATCGGGTCTGATGGTGGCTGGTAACAAGTCCCCAAGCTAAAAACCAAGGGCGTGGATCAAAGTTTTTTTTTTTTTTTTTTTTTTTTTTTTTTTTTTG